TTCCTACACGTCACGGGAAAGAAAAAAGGAAAAAAAAAAAAAAAAAACATCGTATAGAGGAATCGGCATTATTCGTCGAAAAAAGCAAACCTAAAAGAAAGAAAAACCACCGTCACACGACATCATCTAAAGTTCCTCGTTTTTTTGTCGTATCGTCTGTATTTTCGGTGTTTTTCATCTTTTTCTTCATCACGTCGTATCTTCTTCTTTTTCTCGTTTTTGTACGTGAATTAGTTACGATTATTCTTTCTCACGTTAGAGTGTAGTATATATAAACTTTTCTAAGCGTATAAATTTTGGTCAGTAAAAAAAAGAATATTCTATATAATATCGAATTACATTTTGTCCTATTACACGTCACACGTAAAACAAACTCTCTATCGTTTCTTTTTTTTTTTTTTTATCTACTACGTTTACATGTGTATTTTTTTCATCCCTTTTCATTTTTTCTCTATCACTCATTCTCTCTCTTGTACACGCATATTATCCGTTCACTCAATTTCACTCTCGCTTTTTGTTGTTTTTATCTTTCTTTTTAGGCGTCTAGGTAAAAAAGTGGGGGGAGGAGGGACAAGCGACGTTCTGTACGTCGATGATGAATCACTAGAAAAATAAAAACGCGGCTCTATCCATCCATATTCTCTTTCATCTCTCTCTCTCTCTCTCTCCTCGAATTTTCCATTCCTCGAATCCGATTATCGTCCGACTTCCTCCTCGATTTCACACATTTTCTCGCCTTCCGAGCTCCGGCTCCGCCATTTCGTTCGCATCCATCGTGCAACGCAGTTTCCACATACGCTAATCTCCATTTTCTACCCGTGAGATTTTTCCAAACAGAATCGAAGAAAACTGTCGACGAGCTCTTCGAACACGTGAACATTTCTCTGTTTCGCGTTCGCTCGTAAGAGAAATTCGCAAGAACCCTTTTTCTCGTGTTCGATCAGCTGTTTAACTCGCCGCCATTTTGCGGTTGACAGAGGGAAGCCTCTGGGCAAGTAACACAGTTTTAAACGTTGCAGGCACGTCGCTTTGATATTCGTTTAAATTTGTGTGTGTCACTGTGGACGAACGAGCAAATTGGAAATTCGACATCCACCGTTCGAATCACGCAGCTTACAATTAGATCGAACAACGCCATTTTCTTAATCCACGAATCGACAGAATAACGACAATTGAAAGTCTTCGAATCGCGAAGGAAAATAGCGTTACACTGTACAATTAAAACGAAAACGAGTCCTATCGAATCGTCACTTTTGATTTCTATCAAATTTCCTGCAATTCTCGGAGCACAGATTGCCCGACTATCGTGTGGAAACGAGTATTTCAAAAACGGGGAAAATGAACGCCTATCGAAATTCTAACGGGAGCCAGAAGAAGCACCATTGAAGGGTCTGCACGGAGCTACTTTCTTTTCAGCATTGAACATTTCGTATATTCTGAACACCTCTGAGCGATTCTGCTGATTTACTCTCCAACGATGCAAGAAATTTTGCAAATGTCAGTCGAATGGAAGAAACAAAGAAAAATATATAAAATATTGCCAAGCTTTTCTTTTGTGCATTCTTCTATAACTTCTTCGTTACTTTTCTTCCAATTCTACGTATATTCTGCCCCGAATCGCCCAATAACGTATTCAAGAGGATCAATTGCTGTACTTTCTCAGAATGAAACGTCCCAAGGTACCTTGTCAGAGCACAAACTGCCGCGTCGAGTGACCGTCCCACGACGTTGCAGCTAAATGCTCGTCCAGTGTGCCTTCGATGTACATAATTCAAGCAATAAAGTCGATCGGTAGCATGTGAAACGTCTAACAATTACTAAACACAGCTTTCTCGTCGTTCTATTGCGAGTTTTCATTCAAGGAAGTGTAACAGACACGAGTACTATGCGGAGAGTGGGCTCTACGTCTGCCTCAGAGCTTCTGCTCGAGGTTTCTCAAGCTTGTAAAAAGAGAATCGGACTAATAGGAACCGTGGGTGTGATGTGATGATTTCGTGCACGAGAAAGAAGCATTTCCAAGTTCTAAATAGTTGGTAGAAGCCTCAGGTGTCGTTCAATATCTTGTTAAACGTCGTTTCGTTAACATTCGGACGGCGGATGACGGGTCACCGCTGACCCAGCTTTCAGACGTCTCTCGTTTCAACCGACATTCGAAACAGAATCACGATTCACCTCGTGAACGATGCCTGGTGAAATAAAAAAAACATTGTGTTTCCGCCTGTCTTCGAAGAAGATTTCGACACTGGGTCGCATTTGACCCGGCATCCGCCGATGCGTCCGACTATCACGCCATCCGCTGTCCGAGAGTTAATCTTTCTAGAATTATTGGACCATTTTCCACCGTTTAATCTACAATATATCTAATAATTAATCTTTTGATTTGGCGTCGAAGAAACCTCGGTAACGAATTAGGAACGCTTTTCTCTAAACGACACCGAAAGTCAGTCGTAGAAATTCGTCACATTGTAAAACAATCCACGAAACTGAACTGAGAATATGCTTGATTTCTCTCATGTACGACTCGTTTCTTCGTGAATCTAAGGATTATTTATAATGATCGAGGAAGCTCGAAAGTCGAACAGCTTCCGGTGTAAAAATGTACTTACGAAGAACAAAAGAGAAGGGGGAACCAAGCCAAGCCAGGCTCCACTTTGAATTCGTGCTAAATCTGTGCATGAGTGCTCATTTCTTTATCAATTCTTTCTTTCGTTTTCTTTTTTTTTGGTTTTTTTTCTGAATTTTCTTTCAGTTTGACAGAGGAAAGACGAGCTACTCATTGGCTAAGAGTCAGAGGTTTGCTATAGCTTCTTTATCTTGCTCATCAGCATTGTGTGTCTGTCGAACTCGAAGATCAAGCTCGTCGTTGTTCTCCGTCTGACGATTATCAATATTTATGCACCATATACGGGCCAAAAAGTCGAAACCACTGTTTGTCACGCTTTAAACCAATTTTTTTTTTTTTCGTCAACTTAGAATAAATCCCATGGAAACAATAAAAAGAAACATTCTTCGATACGTCACAAACATATATACAGTGGTAACAAACTTTTTGGCCAGAAATAACGTGTGCCCATGTACACAGAATTCTTTCTCTCGCAGTTTTTTTCGTCGGAGGAAGAGAAGAACAGAAACGGAAATCGAAAAAAAAAAAAAAGAGAAAAAGAAATGAGGACAATTGTGTGCACACGGAGTCGAGAACTGGTCGACGAACCATCATCACCCGTCCGGCCCAGGAATCAACTATTTTTCCAACTAACGACTATAAGTAAGAAGTGAAAACGTCGAGTCTAACGATCACAGCTATTGTACGATAACGCTCTACGAGTGCCTAACAATTGTCGCGGCGAACAAATGATACGGACGCTATCAATAAAACACTCTCATTCTCTCACTTTCGCTCTCTCACTCCCGTAGTACACTCTTTTCTCTCTCTCGATCGTTTTGCTCGAGCGCGAATTCTCGAACATTTGGACACTGAACTATAGAGAAAAAAAAATATATATATATACTTATGTAACGTGTGTGTGTGTGTGTGTGTGTTTAATGCGCGATTTCGTGTATGTATGTGTATATTATATTTATATATCTGTAAAATTCATCCTACGAAGAGTGTTTGCTTTTGCACCGGGTCTGAGAAACCTAATCTTTCTCGTGTCGGTAAGCATTCGTCGATACACTTGAAAAAGTAAATGTGTACATATTTATATATCTATAATGTATTCGCGTGAGTGCCGTCGTGAGCATCCTTCTTCCTAGCGAGTTCTTCAAAATTTTGTCGTCGCTAATATTCATTTGTTTCGAAGAGTTAAGGAAGCGTGGATCGATCACGAGGCACCGTGAACCGAGAAATCATCAAGAAGAAACTGTATGTAAGTATGTATGTGTGTGTGTGTGTGGTGTGTGGTCGTCGCGAGACTTCTTTTCTCCTCTATCTTATTTTCACTAAATTAAACGGGACTCCCTAACGTGTCGCGTGCGTGTCGTTTTTCACAGGACACGCGAATAACTTCGTTTTACAAAATCGTCACCTTACAACCTATTTATGTACGTATTATGTAACTTGTATCGTCCTCGTCGTTGCGTGAGCGAGTGAGTGTGTATATGTGTGTGTGACGCTCCCTCTCGTACCGCGAATATTGCACGTTTCTTCAATCGTGTACACGCGTTCGCTATACATGTACATATATATATTATATATCATATATTAAATATAT